GGCCGGCCCCTCAACGTAGAGTTAGCCGATGCTGAGGTGGCCGCGTCGTTGCGCACAGCGAGAGAGGCACGGGCCTCTATACCATCTGGCCCGGCCCATCTCTCGCTGGCGGAACTAGAGGAGGACCAAACCAGTGTTGCCCTCAACCAATGCGTTGAGGCATCACTGAGGACGATACTGGAGGTAGCAACCAAGTCCACCAACATCAAAGGGACATTGGTGAAAGCGCTGAAGGAGGCGGCGGCAAACATCAAGGCCGCCGTCTCCCAGCTTAGAGAAAGGACCATGTCAGAGGAGGTGGCGCGGCTGGAAGCAGCGAACGCGCGCCTCCAAAGGGATATGGAGGAGATGCGGCGCGAGTTAAAAGATCTCGACAAGCGTCGACCTGCCCAGCCTGGCCAGAGAGGGAGGCTGCGCGGCGGACGCCATAAGATCGGGCAGGCTCACGGTCGGCCCGAGGGGAGATGGCTCACTCTGGCTGAGCGTGCCGGTGGCGGCCGCCAAAAAGGTGACCGACGCCGGCCGCGTGAGGGTCGGCTGGACCTCGGCTAGAGTGGTGCTGCTCGCCTCGCGGCCGACGCGGTGTTTCCGCTGCCTCGAGACGGGGCACATGGGTGCCAATTGCCCGGGTGAGGTTGACCGCAGCAAGCTCTGCTTCCGCTGCGGGAAGCCAGATCACCGGGCACGAGACTGTGTGGCAGACCCGAACTGCCCCGTCTGCGAGGCGGCGGGCAAACCGGCGGGCCACTTGATCGGCGGCGACGGATGCGCCACCGCCGGGCAAAAGCCAACGCCCAAAGGGAGGAGTGCGCCGAAACGAAGGCCTCGGCGCAAGGCCAAAAAGGCCGGAGCGGAGCGAATGGATACCAGCCCATAAATGGCCACCATCCGCTTCCTACAGTGCAATATCAACCACTGCGCCCGGGCGCAGGACCTGCTGTCCCAAACCATGGCGCAGTGGTTGATAAATGTAGCGGTGGTTGCCGACCCGTACGTCATCCCTGCCCGGGATGACTGGGCGGGTGATGTCGGCAACCTGGTGGCCATCTCCGCTCCGGCCCGCGACGGCTCCCCCCCTCTCCGAAAGGTGGCGAGAGGCACGGGAAGCGTGCTCGTGGTCGTCGGGGGAGTGGCTATTGTGGGGGTGTATTTCCCCCCCAGTTGGCCCCTCGCCGACTTCGAACGCGCCCTCGCAGAGGTACAGGCGCTCACGGCGCGGGTCTCACACCTCCCCGTGGTCGTCGCGGGGGATTTCAACGCCAA